GCTACCAAGAAGAGCCCTTGCCTCCACCCGGCGCCTCAATCCGTCATTTCCATTACGAAAGAAAGTAACTCATTTCAATGTTGCCTAATTCCCCCTCTTAAATTACATTTTAACCAAGAGAATTTTGGGGATTCCTAACTGAAAATTTCACTGATTTTTCCTCAGACTCCATGCAAAAATCAGGAACATTTTGGATTAAAATTGCACATATATATTTTTGTAAAATTAATTAATTATTCGAGTCTATTTGGCAACCTTGGAATAATGTTACGTTGCACCGAGATAACGACGAATTGAACGTAGTTCTGCCAAACGGAACTATGTGCATTAAGAAATGAGCCCTGAGACCCATAAGAATATATGCATAACAGGGCTCACGTCATAATGCACACAGTTCCGTTTGATAGAAATACGTCCAATTACACTGCCGGACTTTCACGTTCTCAACTTAATGTCGCATCAATGCAAATCAATCTTTTTTCAGTTGAGCTACTCTTGATTGGCTGCAAAGGCCACGAGTGCACTAGGAATGCGTTCGGCCGGGGAGAGGATCTGCGCTATGCAGGAATACTCTCCCCACAAACGTGGCGCACGCTGCATTGATGCAAGTATTTAATCACTCTAATGGTACTTGTACACTGTTCTGCCGTGCTAAGCAAGAACGCCGTATCAACCTTCAGGTGTTGCCAAATTCTCTTTGATAAAACACGAATTTTCTGGTAAACTTATGGACATGCTCCTTCCATTTTTTCAGAAAATTTCGTTCGTAATTTCACCTAAAGTCCCTGAAAATTTCAAGGAAAAATATTCACATCTCTCCTCTAAAATAAAAATTTTATCGAGGGAAATTTGGCAACTCTCGGATGTTCATACGGCGTTCTTCCTTAGCACGGCAGTGTACACGGGAGCACGGTCCGCGCGGGTCTCCGGCCAGGTTGTCAAGTCGATTAACTCCACCGCAAGTTGTTATAATCTCATTTCAAGCCTCCTCTCACGGCCTAGTTTTTTTGCTCCTCCAAGGAAGCGCTTTTTCCCCTTTTAACTGTTGCAATGATGAGTCACGTCAAGGCATGAACTAGAGACTGTCGTAAGATCGAGAGCAATGAAAGATTGCATGCGCTAATAGGCAACGGCACTCATCTTTTTTAACTTTTTAATGGAGGGGCTTGCAGGACAGTTAAGGCACATAAAAGCAGTTTTTGAAAAAAAAAATGAGATAATAATGATTTTCAGTAAAACGAATCTCAAAGCATATTCTGTGAAAAATTCGCCAAATATTAGACCAAAAAATGCCCACTCAGGCATCTTCCTAGTGCATTAACTCTTACATCAAGTGGGTTTATGTCCCTCAAAACGCCAAGCTCAATTTCTCCGCGAAAGGAAAGTTTCGAACAGTTCTTGCGCTGTGTGCAATTGGTCAGTTGTTTTTTGTATCCTCCACATGAAGTGTTTATGGCTGATATTTCTTGTAGGTCTCGAGCCTGCTGCGAATAAAAAGTTTCAAACCTATGAAACTAAAGTTTAAAATTTAGTTGTTTTTTATGCCATTTCGTTGAGGTCTCTCAGATTGATTTTCCCTGTTAACGTTGTTACGCCTTTTCGGCGAATTGCTAACGAGTTCGGAGGTATATGTACGCGTAAATGTATGAAATAAAATATTGAGTATGTACTTGAAATTACCATTCCGACAGGTATTAGATTTGTTCTTAGGGTCTAATACTCAAAACATGTTTGTAAATGAAATATCAACATACTTCATACTTTATCTTACAGCCGAGAGAAGTCAACAATTTTCTCGTTCTCCATTGGTTTCTCTTTTGGATAGTGCAAATGCATACTCTGCTATTTTTTAGAAACGACCTCCAGATTTTTAAGGTGGGGAACACACTTCGGATGAGAAGGACGAATATGGGAAAGTAGAACGCATGGAGCAATCTCTACGCAGACGTAAAATTTTGAACTATAATTCCTAGTTAGGTTAGTCCAAAAGAGCCTTGTTAAAAATGGGTCGAAATTCGCCCCTTTTTAGGCCCTCGATTTTGCAAACGGGAATTGTGCCAAATTGTTGCATATAATGCCCTAAGTCTCTGGTAAAAATTTCAGCTTGAGTTGAAAAGTGGTTTCGGAGATACAGGGGGGTGAAGTGGGGGAGTTGAGCGGCTGGCGTGCGCTATTTCCGCGGCTGTTCCTCGCTAAATCTTCGTTTTGATGTCACCCGTTACATGTTTTTCTATGTAATTTTTCGCGTACTTTCCGTTTCTGACCTTAAAAATTACTTACAACCAGTTTTTAAGGCGCTAGGAGGTGAAAGTGGGGGTTGAGCGGTTGGCGGCGCGCTCATTCCGCGGTTGTTCCTCGCCAAATCTTCGTTTCGATGTCATCCATTACATGTTTTCCTATGTAATTTTTCGCGTACTTTCCGTTTCTGACCTTAAAAATTACTTACAACCAGTTTTTAAGGCGCTAGGAGGTGAAAGTGGGGGTTGAGCGGTTGGCGGCGCGCTCATTCCGCAGTTGTTCCTCGCCAAATCTTCGTTTCGATGTCATCCATTACATGTTTTCCTATGTAATTTTTCGCGTACTTTCCATTTCTGGCCTTAAAAATTACTTAAAACCACTTTTCAAGGGGCTACGGATTTTTTTCGCAGTTTTTTTTTAAATTTTTTTAGTTCTTTTAATTTATTTCGTATTATTCCCTAAGATCTATTCGTGCCGTATATTTTCACGTTTTCTCAGTGTACCTCACACAACGTACGAGAATATACGCATGATTTCATCCGTACATAAATGTTAACTTGCTTAAATGATATGCATAGACGAGCGTTCGTAGAAGGGAGATGGTAGAATAATGGCAGAATCATCAAGTAAAGCTTTAAAGCTTTCATGAGGGGGGGAGGAGGCAAATTTTTAAATCGATAACTTGCCATAGCTCTTAATTTTTCATACTTCCCTTGACTTAATAAGGGTGACGATTGGTCTTTCAGCGTGAACGTGTAAATGTATCTGTGGTCATAATATCCTTAAATACGGCGTGTAGGCTGGTAATGGCTGCTTTTAAATAAATAAGTAACGAAGTAAAAGACAGATTTTTTATTAATCAGATTAATGTACTGCCCGGGGCAAATCTCAGATTTTTCCCCATATTTGCCATGTCATTTTGGCGTGTAAACATTTATGTACGGATGAAATCATGCGTATATTCTCGTACGTTGTGTGAGGTACACTGAGAAAACGTGAAAATGTACGGCACGAATAGATCTTAGGGAATAATACGAAATAAATTAAAAGAACTAAAAAAATTTAAAAAAAAACTGCGAAAAAAATCCGTAGCCCCTTGAAAAGTGGTTTTAAGTAATTTTTAAGGCCAGAAATGGAAAGTACGCGAAAAATTACATAGGAAAACATGTAATGGATGACATCGAAACGAAGATTTGGCGAGGAACAACCGCGGAATGAGCGCGCCGCCAACCGCTCAACCCCCACTTTCACCTCCTAGCGCCTTAAAAACTGGTTGTAAGTAATTTTTAAGGTCAGAAACGGAAAGTACGCGAAAAGTTACATAGGAAAACATGTGATGGGTGACATCAAAACGAAGATTTGGCGAGGAACAGCCAAGGAAAGAGCGCGCCGCTGGCCGTTCAACCCCTATTTTCACCCCCTAGCGCCTTGAAAAGTGGTTGTAAGTAATTTTTAAGGCCAGAAATGGAAAGTACGCGAAAAATTACATAGAAAAACATGTAACGGGTGACATCAAAACGAAGATTTAGCGAGGAACAGCCGCGGAAATAGCGCACGCCAGCCGCTCAACTCCCCCACTTCACCCCCCTGTATCTCCGAAACCACTTTTCAACTCAAGCTGAAATTTTTACCAGAGACTTAGGGCATTATATGCAACAATTTGGCACAATTCCCGTTTGCAAAATCGAGGGCCTAAAAAGGGGCGAATTTCGACCCATTTTTAACAAGGCTCTTTGTTATTTTCTTATCCTTTGGTTAAAATACCTAGGGCTAATATTTCTTGTAGGAAGGGCTGCACCTACTGCGTAAAAAAAGTCACAAACCTAGGAAAAACTTTAAAATGTGGTTGTTTTTTGTACCCTTTCGTTGAAGTCTCTCAGACTGATACTTCCGGCATTCGTTTCACATATTTGGCGAATCGCTGAAAACTGAAAACTAAATTGACTGAACTGAAATTACTAAAATTACGACGAGGGATAGTAACAAATAGACGTATTTCTACCAAACAGACCTATGTGGAGGTGAGAAATGTGGGGTGTGCTCGTTAGTTCTCTGGCCGTAAGAGTGAATGGGAATAATTGTGCGCCAGTGACGTCAGCGGCAATGATAGTGCGCACTCGAACGAGAGGGAGCTCGTCGTCGGGGCGCTGTAACTCATGAGCCCTGTCCACAAGGCTCTCTTGCCATGCCCGCGGCTCATGAGTTCCGCATTCAGTTGGCACATAGGTCTGTTTGATAGAATGTAAAATCCCGCTTTTCCAATTCTTCAAAAGGAATCACGCCCACTTTTACATTGCTTCTTATGCAGCTTCAACGAGCACACCCCATATTTGGACGTATTTCTGCCAAACGGAACTATGTGCATCAAGACATGAGCCCTGAGACCCATAAGAATACATGCAGAACAGGGCTCACGTCATAGTGCACATAGTTCCGTTTGACAGAAATACGTCCATTTCTCACCTGCACATAGGTCTGTTTGGTAGAAATACGTCCAAATGTATTTCTATTGATTTATACTTATCACTGTTCACCGGGGAATCCCAAAACGTCACAGAGACTGTGTCGGGGGTACCGTAATACGCCAGCAAAAACCGCGGCACCTCCTCTAGGTTCCAATGGGAGTTACGCGTTGCTAACTCAGGGGGGCAGCGCCCGGCCGGGGGAACACACGAGGAAGAAGAAGGGGGGGGGGCGGCGCGCGCTCACATCGGAAACGGATCTAAGCGTTGCGCAAGCGGGCAGTCTTGGCGTAACTCACGCGCCGCGCGCCGCAGTCAGTGCCGCTTACTCACCGAAAAGTCACCAAGCACCGGTTCGGTTCGGCTCGCTCCGCGTCGAAGGGATTCTCGGCCGACCTTGCGCCCGTTGCAACCGGTCCGCCGCCAGGGGCGCCCCCGCCTTTGGCCGTCGTCGTCAGCTGATCCGCTCGTTTTTTGCGCCCGTTTTTTCGCCCGGGCCCGCGCCGCTATGAACCACGCGGAATCTCCCAGTGCCGCGTTTTCGGAGCATTTTTTCTACCCGCCGTACTTCACCCGCCTGTGTGAAGGCGCATTCTAACCTCAATTCGAACTTCCCATGAAAGCGTTTCCGAAGTGTCCTGGATTTTGCATGCAAGAAACAAGTTCGAAAGTCGTTGCACCGAAACACGCTGTTTCTGAATTTTACTTCGAACCAGTTCTGAGCAACTTCTTAGAAAATGGTGAAATTTTGCTGCTACCTATAAGTTGCCAACTTCCAAATTTATAGTGTCTAAGACTTTGCATGCGAAAAAAGGTTGAAAAGCCACTGAATCGAAATACGCTGTATCTGAAACCTAACTTGGTTCAATTTCAAGCGATTTCCTCACAAAAATTGTGAAATTCTGACGCTACCTAAAAATTTTTCCTCTACGAACTTGTAAAATGTGCTAGATTTTGCTTGCGAAATGAAACAACGACAGTTGTTGGGATGAAACACTCAATTCCAAAACCTTAATTTGATTAAATTACCAACAACCTCCTAAAAACTGCGAACTTTTCAAGCTATTTAAAACTTGTCTATTTCCATCCTAAAATCTCTGAATCTTAGCAGATGTGATTAAAAATGCAGCAGGTGAAGAAGCATTCATGAGTAAACCTTCCAGTTGCATAATTATCGCACCAGTGATGAAATTTTGCCTTAAATTACTACTTAGTTATATACGGTCCGGCGATAATTTCGATGCCATTAACTGCCAAGTTTAAAAGAACAATAGACACAATCAGTTTCAACGGCCACCGCACTTTATGGCTTTACCTTTGACAATATTATGTTCCAGACTATTTTATGACCCAGCTGAATCACTCCTTTCGGCCATTCAAAGCAGAAGCTTAATGTTCCTTGATTACAACGAAGCGTCCCCGAGTCTTGGGGGTTTTGAAATTAGTTATCGCGGAGACTAATAAGTGCCTGGTCGGGCATCTTCCTAGCGCATCGACACATTACGTCAAGCGAGCACAAAGTTCCTCGAAACGTTGGCTTCTCAATTTCTCCGCTCACGGAAAGTTTCGAACTATGATTCTTGCGCTGCGCGCAATCGGTTAGTTGTTTTTTGTGCCCTCTCGTTCAAGTCTCCGATGTTGATTTTGCTTATAGGCGTCGTGCCTACTGCGAACAAAAAGGTTTAACCTAAAAAACACAAGTTTTTAATTCGGTTGTTTTTGGACTCCGTCGTCAACGTCCTCGAAACCGATTTTTCCGGCATACGTTGCGCTTTTTTGGCGAGTCGCGAACGAGTTGGGAGTTGTCTGTGCGTGCGAATTCTCGGCGTTCGCGAGTGCGGTCCGCGAGTGAAAGTTGTTCCGGTCCAAGGATAACGGCCCAAGCTTTGACTCCAACATTTAACTGCAAGAGCGCCCCAAAGGTAAGATTTTCATCATAGCCTAATTTTAATTGGTCGAGGCCCGGTCTTTCAACTCTGCATGAGCGGCTGGCAGGTCCGCGCAGTGAAAGGACACTTCCGGTCGTCAAACGACTTTGAAGGATCTCGCTCAAAAGCTCGTGAAAGCTGGCGCTGACGTCTTAGTTATCGGAACTTACCTGGAGATTATGTAATTCAATGGCAGGCGCGAGCCTCTGTCGGGCGCAAATATAGACGTATTTCTATCAAAGAGAACTATATGCAGGTGAGACACATCGGGTCTGCTCGTTAGTGCTCGGGCCATAAGAATGAATGGGAAGTATAAAGCGCTAATGACGAAGTCGTCGTCGTGGCTCCTCGTGGTGGGCATTAACTCATGAGCCCTGTTCACAACGCTCTAGAAACATGCCCGTGGCTCATGGGTCCCGCATTCAGTTGGCTCAAAATTCCGTTTGCTGAATTGGAAAAGCGGGATTTTACATTCTGTCGAACGGAACTATGTGCAAAGTGTATGAGCCATGGGCATGTGTCTAGAACGTTGTGAACAGGGCTCATGAACTCATGAGCCCGGAATGCCCGAGGAATGCCCACCACGAGGTGCCGCGACGACGGCTTCGTCACTGGCGCTTTATATTCCCTATTCATTCTTGCGGCTCGAGCACTAACGAACAGACCCGATCTTTCCCACCTGCATCCATAGTTCTGTTTGATAGAAATACGTCCGTATGACCAAAGGGTGCCGATGGAACCATTGGAACCTCAAGGGGAGGATGGAACCATTGGAACCCCAAGGGGAGGATGGAACCATTGGAACCCCAAGGGGAGGATGGAACCATTGGAACCCCCAGGGGAGGATGGAACCGATGGACTGCTCCCTCAAATCGAGACAAATGAGCGTTTTCAATACCAGCCTTCATGAATGCACAGAAAAAAAAGTCGGTACATATGAAACATCGAATTTTTTCCGAATTTTTTTTTTCGGTTCAGGTAACCGAAGTTTTTGGTTGCAGAAACCGAAGTTCAATTAAGCCCACCAAAATTAGGTTTCTGAGACAAAGAACTTTGATTACCTGACCCGGACGCATATATCGACGGTGAAACTACCAAACCACGTATCTCGGTTTGCGACGTCGCAGACTTCCTGTCATACTTTATTTTTTAAATGAAAAACTACTTAACGTCTAGTCTTGAAAATTTCTGTGATTTTTCCTCGTTGTGCGGAGAAAATTCTGTGAAAATTTCAAGGAATGATATTGATTTGGTCGACTTCAAAAAAATAAAATGCGAGCGCAGATTTTTAAACACCGCAAACGAGATACGTGGTTTGGTAGTTTCACCGTCGATATGTATTTATGCTAAAAGGAGTCATATGGACATATTTCTATCAAACGGAACTATGTGCGTTATGACGTGAGCCCTGTTATGCACATATTCTCATGGGTCTCAGGGCTCATGCTTTAATGCACATAGTTCCGTTTGATAGAAATACGTCCATATGTGCATAGAGTTAGCATGCGACATAGTTCGTTTCCGCATAAATACATCCGTCTGACAATGGTGGCCTAGACCTTATTGGTACCAGCGGGCCGATCATTGAAATTTTGTGTTGTCAGGTGGAATTCATCGATTTGATAAGTCATAGCCGATCACCACTGTTAAACCTATGTTCGCCAGACAAACACGAAATTTCTCCACATGGAATCTCTTTAATTCGAACTCTCTTTATTTCGAAACCTCGCTAATTCGAATAAAAAGCCGATTCCCTTCAATTTCGAACTATCGAGAGTCCACTGTAATCGGCCAACAGTCCTTTTTCTTGGTTATTTTAGGTCGGATGAGGTCCAGGACCACAGAGTTATCGACCCTAAGAATCTAAATTTCATAGTCCCGCGCAGCCTCCTCCGGCGTGGTAAAAGGGGGGCCCGTACTTCAAAAGTCGATGTATCCGTCAACATTTTGAAATTATTTCATCGGAATCAGAACATATAAACCTTTTCAACCTGAATCGACACCAAGAAATCCGCAATTGGCCCATCCGGGTCCGACATACTGGCCCCGTAAAGGCGACAGACGGAACTTGCTTTCTTCAGAAAATGCAAGTTCGCTAAACTGACGTAGAGTCGAGGCTCAGAAAATAGGTGTGTTCGTGCGAAACCGACCCCAGGAAATCCGAATTTGAGGGCCGCGTCGTCCCCAGAGGCTATTATTTGATGGGGCACAGAGGGAGACTCTGAATATGTAACTTGAACTAGTATGGGGTTCCGGGTCCCCAAAAGAGATTTTGCAAGTTGTCAACACTGATTTTTCTCCATTTAAATCCATTAAAAATATCGATTTGACGTCAGGCAAGCTCCCTCATCTAGAGTCCTTTTATACTGAGAGTTAAGACAACCCCCCCCCCCTCATGGAGTCACAAACGGGAATTAAGATTACACAAATTGAACGTTTTTCGTAATCTTTGATCGGCCAATTCTCAAATTCCTTTCTCCGTCTTCTCTCTCATTCCGTTTGTTCCTTGCCGACCCCGTAATTTCCCGGTCCATTCCAGATTATAATCTATGGAATTGGTGAAAATGTAATCTTTGTACCCGTTTGTGACACTGTGGAGGCCTAAAATACGTGAACCAATCAGAAATGGATTCACGTTGTCTTAACTTTCAGTATAAAGGGACTCTAGCCTCACCAAGATTCATTTGGCTTACATACACTTAAATGGAGGAAAAAGAGTGTTGCTAACTTTCAATAATCGCTACTGGGGGTCTTCCCTGGACCAAGATAGACTTTTTAGCGCCTGCAAAGTGAATTTCTGAAAGTGTTTCGGATCATTCTGGACAGTATTACGAAAAACCGAGGGGGGGGGGGGGGGGTCGTTGAATACAATTTTCTGCTCGGACGCTGGTGGTTTCATTTTCTCAAAACTTTAATTTTGCACTTGCTGCACCCTTTGGTAACATGGGGGATTGTCTACGAGTTTTTGGCTGAGGGTTTTCGAGCGGGATTTCTTGGCGGCCCGACGTAGTCGAAGCGGCGTGTGCGGTGACAGTTGGCCTGAGTTTGAGTCGTTGTCGATGGGCATCTGATGCAACGACTCGCGTGGACCTATTTTATGACGCTATCGCTGGATCTCATCACTCACGGCTTACTTAACTGAAAGCACTGACCGCCTCAAAATGTCTCAGAGCCTCATTGCGGTGCAGTGAGACCTATATCGACGGCGCACGTCCGCAACCGCGTATCTCGGTTTTCGACGGTTTCGAGTTAGCTGCAGAAATGAGGTGTAGTAGATGCCTTTTACCTGCTATCGAAATATTTAAGTAGAAAAAAGCCTAAAAGTCACCTAAAAACGCAGAGCTCAAAACAAGTATCTCGGAGCTAATTTCAATAACACGTCTCGCGTGCCGTCGCGGAGCATTTAGTACATCGCGCGCTCTTGCGGGAAGAATCGTGAACAGTTTAGGAGGGTGATTCTTTCTGAATTTCTTACATGGAACAATGTTGAATCATCAAGAAAATTCGGTCACGTTTCAATAAAAGGCATGCATTCACTTCCCTCGCAAAGAGTGAAATATTAGCGAAGATTTTGAACCACCATCATCTAGAAGTTCCCTTCTCGCACTCAGTGCCTCATTTATTATAGGAGCTCAGTCAGTAGTTTGCATGGTGGAAACCATCGAATTTAAGTATTTTTTTTCTTTCTTAATAGTGGGCTTATAATTTTTGGTAAGTAATGTAGGTTTTTTGCTAAAAGACGGTAGGTAATTAGTCTTGTCCATACTTTTCCCCCGAAAAGTTATCAATGGGCTACATGAAATCATGCAATTAATTACATCAAACAGTCTCCTCGGTTCAGAATGACGTATAAGAAAATCCACAAATCGATCCAAAAATTGGTAGATAAACTCAGTACCTATGGTCAGGCCCGCCACATCCCACCTCGGGCCCTGGTACCAGTTTTAAGGTCCGGGCCCCAAGCACGGAGGGGGGGGGGG